ATTGTGAGACAGGTCTGTCAAGCCATAACAGTCCACCTTGGTCCAATTAGGCTTGTAACATTCTGGATTTTGTTTTGTTTTTTCCTGTTTTATTTTGAAGTACTGATCTCTTGTGTAATTGCAGTTTCCTGCGTTTTCCTGCCTTTCATCAACCACACCTGCTGCCTCTTACTTACCTGCTCCCTCTTAGCCATCCCTGTGTATACATACCCTCCAGATCCTCATGTCTCTGCCAGACTGTCTTTGTTCTCTCATGTCATTGCTGTCTAGCTATTACTGTGTTTTATTCTGTAAGGATTTTGCCTACTCTCAGTCTGTTTTGTGAGGTTTATTTTTTAAAAACTCATTGTTAGTGTTTTACATTTTTGGTTTTAAGTGAAGACCAAGCTTTTTTTGAACCCCATTCTGCTTCCTCTGTGTCTTTGCGTGTGAGTCTGAGTTTTCACCAGAGTTGTTACAGTACAATCTGGCCATGTCAGACTCAGCAGAGATTGATGCTCTCCGTGTTGCACTTCATTCTCAAGAGCAGTGGCTGCAAGACCATGAATAGGCGTTGAACAAGTTAGTCCGAGGTGTCCAAGAGCTTCAAGATGCCTTCCAGAATACCATGAAGGAGCAGTTGCATGCACTCACAGCCCAGACTCAGCAGTTTTTGGCAGTCCTCAACAGCCAAGTTCTGGCATTGGCTGCCTTAACCCCTCTTGCCCCTGCAGCAATGCCTGATCTCCAGCCTGCCCTTTGCCATGAACCACATGCACCACCCATTGAAAGGTATGATGGGGATCCTGAGACCTGCCGCTCCTTTCTGACTCTCTGCTCCCTGACTTTTGGCCTCCAGCTGTCATCATTTCTCACTGAACATTCCTGTGTTGCCTTTATGATCACCAACCTCACTGGAAGGGCACGGGAGTGGGCTACAGCTGAGAAGGACAGTCTGTCTCCAGTTTGCCAATCCGAGAAGGCTTTTTCAGATGCTTTAAGAAGAGTTTTTGGACATTGTACTCCTGGTCATGAGGCAGCCCGGGGTTTGTTGGCTCTTAAACGGGGAGACAGCCGTGTGGCAGACCATGCCATTCGTTTTTGGACTCTGGCTACTGACAGTGAGTGGAACACTAAGTCCCTGTCTCTTACATTCCTGCACAGTCTTTCTGACGATATTAAAGATCACCTTGCTCCATTAGACTTACCCACAGACTTTAATGCACTGGTTACGCTTGCTATCAGAACTGATAATCACCTTTTTGAAAGAAAGAAAGAAAGAAAGAAAGAAAGAAAGAAAGAGAGAAGAATCATGCTGAGAGGAGAACTCCAGTCCACTTGGGGCAGTCTAATTCCTGGTCTCCAACCAAACATCATTTCAGTTCTGTTGGGAGCTCCAGCAAGGAAATTGCTGCATCTTCTGGGGTAAAGGAGGAACCTATGCAGGTGGGCCACGCTCGTCTGTCCCCTGAGGAGCGACAGCGCCACCTTAGGGAGGGAAGATGCATCTACTGCGGTCTCCAAGGACATTTCCTGGCAGCATGTCCAGTAAAATGCCATGTTCATCAGTGAATGGAGGGTTACTGGTGAGCAGAACTACTTCTACAAGACCCTCCCGTGCACTCACCCAAGCCAATATTGCCTCTTCTTCAGTTTCTTTGGAATTGGCTGCTTTCGTGGACTCCAGAGCCGATGAAAGCTTCATGGATTAAAGCCTCGCTCGCCAGCTCCAGCTGCAACTTGAGTCTCTCCCTTCTTCTCTAGTGGCCCACGCCTTACTTAGATGGTTGTCTCCTATGTCATGTGTCTCTCCAGACTCCAGCCCTCATTCTCCTCATGTTAGGTAACCATTCTGAGACTATTTCTTTCTACATTATTGACTCTCCTGAACTTCCTCTCATTCATGGTTATCCATGGCTAACTAAGCACAACCCGCATTTAGACTGATCTACTGGCACTATCCTGGGCTGGAGTAACCGGTATCACTCATCTTGTCTCCTGTCTGCTCCTCCCACTGACCTCCCCAAGCCTGTTGACTCCTCCTCAGAGTTCCCTGATCTGTTTGGTGCCCCCTCTGCTTACATGGATTTGAAGGAGACTTTCAAGAAGGCCCGTGCTATTTCTCTGCCGCCTCACAGACCATATGACTGCCCCATCAATCTCCCTGATCTGGTCCCACATATCTATGGACACAAAGTCATAGATATGTGTGTCCTGTCAAACCAGTGACAAACAAAGGTTTGACCCCCCTGAAGGTAACGCTGTTATACTCACCATAATAGATCGCTTCTCCAAGATGGCACACTTTGTTCCTTTTGCCAAACTCCCCTCTGCCAAGGGGAAGCAGAAGCCATGTTGTCTCATATTTTTTTGTCTGTCTCTTTTGGCATGGTCTGCCACAGGATGTTGTTTCAGATAGTTGGCATCATTTTGTGTCCTGTTTCTGGAAGGATTTCTGCCAACTGATTGGTGCCACAGCCAGCCTCTCCTCTGGCTTTCATCCCCAGTCCAACAGTCAGACAAAACATTACAATCAGGAACTGGAGACGGGTCTAAGATGTCTAGTCTCCCAGAATCCATCTCTGTGGAGTCAACAATTGGTATTGATTGAATATGCAAACAACTCACTTCCCGTTTCTGCCACTGGTCTATCTCCCTTTCATTGTGTTTATGGGTGTCAACCACCACTGTTTCCGGACCAAGAGGGTGAGGTTGCTGTACCATCTGCTCAGGCCCTTGTTCGTCATTGTCACCTTACGTTGAAAAGGGCTTGGGCAGGTCTTATTCAGGCCTCTCGGTGTGGAAAGTCGTAAGCTGGCACCCAGGTTTTTTGGACCCTTCCCATTCTCCAAAATCATTAATACTGTGGCTGTGCGGTTACATCTTCCCAGAGCCATGAGTCAAACCTGTAAGAAGTAGTCCACTGGTCCCCTCTTCCAACCTCTCTGGACTTTTGAAACTGTTCTGGATTTAAGGAGTTTGCCTTCTCCCCGTCTGTTTTGTGAGTGTTTTTTTTTTTAAACTCATTGTTAGTGTTTTACGTTTTTAGTCTGAAGTAAAGACCAAGCTCTTTTTAACCCTGCTCTGCCTCCTGTGTGTCTATCTTTTTACCAGAGTTGTTACAAGGCTGCCTTTTACCGAAACAATCACTTGACACTCGTACTGTTGGTAGACAGACCTCCGAATCTGAAGCTGGATCCGGACTGGCAGGGGAGGAATCAATGCCAGCAGATATCAATCTCGTCACAGGCAAGCCATCCCAAACCTGCTTGCAGAGCTCGAAGTACATCGTCACCACTCTGCCATGTCCACTTTGGCATCCAGTGTTGACTGCCCCACAGTACTTTGCCCAGATGGTCTTGAGCTTAGTTGACAGTATTGCTCTGTTCACCATGTTTTTTTGAATGTGGAAATTCTTTCCCTACCTTTTCTGAGTCTTCCTTACCAGGGTACTGCTCCTGAAACACCACCAATATGTCCACATGTTTTTTGTAACAAAACTCCCAATCAACATTTTCTTGGGCTTTTTTTGACTTCACCATGGTAACAAATACAATGTGTACAATATAAGATATGAATAAATAAATAAATAATCTGCTACAGTTTCCATTGTTTTGCAAGTTGATTTGTTAATACCGCCAAATGTAAATAAGCTTGCTGCACATGCTCAGAATTTTCCTCTATGGTATTTGACAAATAATTGGCAGTGGCCACCTACTGGCCCAGCGAGTGATTTGAGTCGTTGAGTAGTTTTAGCGTTCTTGTGTAGACAGAGATATTTTGTAAAATGAGATGGTGTGGATGGATTTATTTTTTTATTTTTTTATGGAGTGGAAAATTATCTGTTTATAAAAACATCTGGATATGTATACCCAGGGCCTCAATTGACTATTCTTTAAATCCTGCCCTAATTTACTGTTGCTATGTCTGTTCTTGGATAACATGCTGGTTATAGTTAGTGACAAATTTACCCTTCACAATTCTTAGTAATTTTTGCGTGACCTTGCAATTTTCAGAGGAAAATTGGTTCCATCCAATTGGCTCCAGTTGGCTGAAATGACAGCTGTTGCTGATAGATTTAATCAGATCTAGAGAACTAGCTAATTAAGCTAACATTAGCTACATGAGTTGATTTTAAAATACTCCATGTTTTCAGGTCACTTGCTTTATAAGGAGAGATTGATACAAAGGTTTAAAACAATCAGAAATATGACAGTTCATCTGCAGGCCCTCATGAGGTGTTTTTTGATTATTAAAAGAACGGACTATCAGCAACTAGCAAGTATCAGTTCATCTCTCGCACACTGCCAGTAGTCCTGATGATCTTAATCCAGCAAAATATATAGTCCAACCACACTATAGCATCCAAAGGTATCCATAAACCACATATTATTTCCTAATTTACCTATTCTGCATATAAAAAAAACTGACTGGCAGCTGCCATGATGAAGGCAGGCTCCTGGCCTTTCCATTCCTTTTGGGATGAGGACTTTTGTGTTAAGAACAAGTAAGTCTACTTTGGGTAGCTGGACATTATTCTAAATCCAAAGATGAGCAGGACAGACCAGCTAACATTCACACTCTGATATCAGAGTTTGCTATCATTCAATCATTGCATCACTGCAACTGTTAGCATGTCTGGCTGACGATTCTAGTTTGCGCTTAGCAGACCAGAACACTTTTTAATCTATTTTTGGCCCTTGTGCTTATATGGTTTTGGTTCTGGAAAGGCTCAAGACAGACATCACACTCAAAACTCTTCAAAAACCCAAGTATCTCTCACTGCACATTCCTTCAACATGTGGAAAAATTCCAAGCTTCACAAGTCAACAGGCAGCAGATGGTTAAATAGAATTATTTAGCATTTCAGCAGGTATGTAGTAACAATGTAAGTGGTGATATAGGCATTGACCAGACACAATATGATTATTAAAACCAGATATCAAAATGTAGGTCTGACCCTACTGGACACAATTTGCATTACTTTAAAGATGGGACAGAATTCTGCTTTGCCTCCCCAGGACCCCAGATTCAATGCTGAGGTGGACCAGATCACAGGTTACAAAACCCAGAGTATTCTTTGCCTTCCTATCAAGAACCACAGAGACGAGGTAAGACAATACACAGTGGAGCAGTAGACTACATACTGCATGCAGTACAGCTTATTTTTGACCAGTTACAGTAGGTCTGATATTACAGAAGTTAACCATAAACCAGTAGGATAGTGATTTATTTCAAGGGACACCAGTGGCTTTTTGTTCTTCAAGCTCAATATGATTTTAACAGGCAAGGGAAGGCTAATGTGTGAAGCCAGTAAAAGTAACTCGCCCAGTTACCAGCTTTTTTTCAGACCTTTCAATCTCATCTAATGGCTATCTTTTGCAAATAGAATTCCCTTGGTTGTAATAGAGATGGCTCAATTGTCTTCATGTATGTTGGTAAGAATTGAAAGTCATGTGGTGACAACTGTGCCATCTCCATGAAAACTGGGAAAACTTGGTCCACTGAGAAAGACCATAAGATGCATTTGAAAGGTCTGAAAAAAGCTAGTGAGTAGACATTGAGTTAATATGTATATATAAATACATTATATATATGTATATGTGTGTATATATATATATACATATACCTCACAAAACATGTTTTTGGCCATGACACAAGAATTCGTTTTGAATTTCACATAAATGTATGATAGAATAAAATGATGAACATTTTATATCTAATAGGCAATAGGTCAGCTGTGACATTATAATGTTCTGCAAAAAACACTTTTCTGGCCATTACTTAACACCATGTCTCAGGAACAGAAGGGGAAATATTTGGTCAGATACTGAACTGGTGACTAATCTTAAAACTGGGCTGATTGTTTAGATCTTCTGTGCTGCTGGGTTAAAGATGTGTATGAAGCATCCATATTTTAGAATTTGTAGAGTCTCTCTGGACAAATTGAGTTTTTAAATTCTTTTCACATTTGCATCCTTTTCCAATAAACAGCTTTAGCAACACAGGCCTTGTTTACAGCCATGTTCGATGTTAATGGGATTTCTGGTAGCCTTGAGATTGTTGATTAGAAACCATATCAGTAATCTTGTGCAAATCAAGACATAATATTGACAATTCACAAAGCTCTACTTGCCAATGCAAACTACAAAAAAAGCCAGAGTAACTTTAAGTTGAGCGTATTTTCTGCAACACTGGTTTTCAGAATACAAGTCAACACAAGCTATGCACCAAGTCCTTTTTATGCCTCCACACCAGCGAGAGCCGTGGCCGGAGGTATTATATTTTCGGATTGTCTGTTCATCCCATTCTTGTAAATAGAATATTCCAAGAATGCCTCAAAGGAATTTCCTCAAATTTGGCACAAATGTTGACTTGGACTCAACAATGAGCTAATTGGATTTCAGTGGTCAAAGGTCAAGGTCAGCGTGACCTTGCATCTGTCTCATTGTACACCTTAATGTTTTTTTTTTTAATTTGACACATCAAATTTGACACAGACTTCCACTTGGACTGAAGAAAAAACTGATTAGAATTTTGTGGTTGAGGTCAAAGTTCAAGGTCAGTGTGACCTCACCTGTTTTTGGCCATAACTCAAAAATGTATAAATTTTTTTATCCAAAAGATCAAAGTTCAACTTCAGTGTGACATCATGTTGTTCTGCATAAAACACTTTTCTGGACATTCATACATTCAGTGTCATAGCTGAGGAACAGAAGCGGAAGTATTTGGTCAGATACTTAACTGATGACTAATCTTGGGTGTCCATCTTGAAACTGTGCTGATTGTATAGATCTTTTGAGCTGCCAGGTGGAAAATGTGTGTGAAGCATCCATATTTTCACAGACATGGATATAAACTTTAAAGAGAAACTGGTGCATGGAGGCATACAACCCTGGGGTGTGTATGGGAACTAATTCTCATTTTGAGCAATTTTTGTTATGTTTTCTTCATCCTGTCCATTACAGGTTGTTGGAGTGGCTCAGGCTATCAACAAAAATGGGGAGGACGGTGCCTTCACTGAACAGGATGAAAATGTTAGTAAAGTTCACTGGTTCACCCATAAGAACCACATTTATTATGTGTCTAAATTCAGAAAATTGTTGTTGCAAGATATTTTGCTGTCAGCTAAGGTGTTGGGCAGACTGTTAACAGAGGCATAACCTAGCTGTCCTGACCTGTGTCAAAATATGTGTCTTTTAGATACACTGAATGAAAAACTGTCCTTAACCTCACTTCATCTTTCTTCACCTGTATGTGTCCTTCCTTATATCATCTTTCATTTCCCTTTCTTCTTCTTTTTCTTCACTGATGTAGCTTTTTTCCCCCCACGAAACAGTCCAGTCATGTTTTCTGTAATTCCTTCCTGACGGTTCTTTACCTGTGGTGCTCATATGCTGTTCTGCTCCTCTCCGACAGGACTTCTCAGCCTATTTGGCCTTTTCAGGCATTGTCCTGCACAACGCTCAGCTGTATGAGACATCGCAGCTAGAAAACAGACGTAATCAGGTGGGTGTGAATATGTGTCTCTGAGGGTGTGTGTGTGTGTGTGTGTGTGGGCATAGACACAGCTCAGAACATGATGTATTCTTCTGTGTTTGTGCGTGTGTGTGTGTGTGTGTGTGTGTGTGTGTGCAGGTATTGCTGGACCTGGCCAGTCTAATCTTTGAGGAGCAGCAGAGTCTGGAGGTTTTACTGAGGAAGATCGCAGGAACCATCCTGTCCTTCATGCAGGCCCAGGCTTGTACCGTCTTCATCGCTGACGACGACTCCATGGTCAGCACACATACACATGCATGCACACACATACAGGATTATTTTGAACTAAATTATCTGAACTAAATCAATTTCACTGCAGTAGGAGGTTCACAGCTCCTCCCTATGTAATGATTATTAGTAACTCAAAATTAAGCATTGTAAACACATGAAACGATACAAAAGTCCGGTACGTTACTATGTTAACTGAATCTGGAGGTGTGTAAGTCCTGGAACAAGGGCAGGCTGGCACCAGTGATTGGTACTGTAGTTTTGGCATTCCATTGTAGACTGTTCCTGCCCTGTTTGGTGGCTGATCCAAACCACAGTGATGGATGTGCAGAGAGAGGACTGCGTTACTGCAGTGTAGGATTGTATTAGAAGCTTGTGAGGCAGGCTGAACTACCTGAGCTTCTTGAGGAAGTTCATCCTTTCCTGGGCTTTTTTGAGGATGGTGTTGATGTTGGATGCCCAGTTTATGTCCTGGGAGATTGTGGATCATAGAACCTGAAGGATTCCACAGCAGACACAGTGCTGTTCAGAAGGGTGATGGGCAACTGTGCTGTGGGGCTCCTCTTGAAGTCTGCCCTCATCTTTATAGTTTCAAGAGACTTCAGCTCCTGGTTCTTCTGACCACAACAGAAGGCCAGCTATATGTAGACTTATCAGACGATGAGGCCATGGACTGTTGTGTGGTCTGCAAATTTGAGGAGTTTAACAGGCAGGTCTCCTGAGGTGCCACATAGTTGGAGCTCTAAGCAGTCAAGCAGGATTTGAACTGGCCACCGTTACTGCTTAGCTAACATTAGCCTTGGCTGCTCTGCATTGCGCATCAGCCAGGTTGGGTGAAGGCTAGCTTGCATCCCGCTCATTTGCGATTACTGCTGGTAACGTTGCTGCAGAAACATGGTGGCCACCCACTGGTCTCCTTCCAGGTAGCCCCACTGGGTAAGCACCTTCAATTTTAGCCACAAACCCCCTTTAGCATTTAAGTCAGCACCACTAGCCTTACTAACACTGCCAATGGTGGTAACAAAGACATCAAGTCTGTTATCCACATGCAGGTGGAGTAAGGCATGTGAAGGACGGCGAGTCATTAAGTCCTCTGGTTCTTGTTTTATTGGAGACAATGATGATGGTGGAGGTCTTGAAGTAGGCTGGTACAAAGTATATCTTTAGTGAGGCGTTAAAGCGCTGAGGCAGGCAGACGTGAGAAGGCCCAGGCCCGTGCTAAGGTGAGGGATGAGGAGCTGGTGGGTGGGGTCATGGGGGATGATGTCAGGACTGTCCCATTCTCTTTCAAAGCAACAGTAGCCCTTTTGAAACAGAGATTCTTTGGTACTGCCGTAAAGATCCGTCATTACTTATACATGTATATATATATATGTATATACAGTGTTGGGCAGTAGCGTCACTACAGTAGCGGACATTTGTAGTTTAACTACATTTCTCAGTAGCTTGGTGGTAGCGTTGCTGTTTTCTGAATCAATTAACTTCTCAGTAGTTAAGCTCTTTTATTGATCACTTAGCGCGGTAGCGTCCACACAAGTTACATTTCCAAAATCATTTCTGAAGCTCAAACAAGGTGGGGATTTCTGTTATGGACTGAAATAAAACTGTCACCGCTACCACACAGAGTCACTTCCGCATGAACCTGACGGGGGACAGCCCTCCATTCCGAAACCCCGCCGTTCCGAACGACCCCCCACTCCGAAATTGATTTTCAAGTCCATATCGAGTTTCCTGCATCAAACACTGCCGCCCGCTCTCCATCTGCACTTGCACAATTCTGAAACTCGTTGTACTACAAAAACTTGAAATGAACGTTCAACTCATTGTTTTTTATTGAATATATGTCACTGTCTTCATTTATTATGTATAATTTCTCTAGCAGCAGCAAACACATTTAAAGGAGACGCTTGTCAAGTCTTTTTACGCGCGCCGTCCGTGGTGCTGAAATCCCCGCTGCAGCTGCCGCTGCTGCTGACAGCAGACCGGGGAGAAAAAAAGACATTTCTTTGCTCTGTGCTTTCAGAAAATAACCAGGGTTAGGGTAAGAAAGACCAACGGTCTGTACAGCAGTCCCACTGTGTTTGCCAGGACATATCAGGCTGTGTGATTATGCACAAAGATTGGTTTAACGCATTGGAGCAATTTCATACAATTTCGGACATTTAACGTGATAAACTAATTTCAGTTCAACATGGTCACCTTCTTAGAGGATTCAGCTGAAGCATAATGAGTGTTATATGTCATTAAGATGAAGTATTTGCTTGTTTTGTGGTTAATAATGCACATAATCCATTTGACCCCATCATGAATGGGATTTATATTCGTTCCTACAGACAGAGGCAAAAGGATCAATGCGCAGCCTCCGTTTCCTTTGTGTCCATGCTCCATGGACAGATTTTTTTCCTACTTTCTAAAATTTTCCTGAAACAAGTGAAAATTGTCTAAAAACAAGTTACTTTTTAGGTGATGAATCTTATTTCAATTGTAATGAGATTTGTTTTGACTAGAAATAAATATTCTTGGTAAGACTTTGAGTTTTTGCAGTGTACCTACACATACATACACGCATGTACGTTTTTGACCATGTTGTGACTGTTTGAAGCAGGTCTTCATTCTTGCTGTTGTGGTTTGAGTCGTGTTGGGAGTTAGTGCAGCTCACTGTTCAATAAACAATTGAACTTAACTTTTTTACCTGCCTATCTGTTTGACAGACAGTTTTATTAATCAGTAAGATAACACTGACTTGGCACGAAGTTGGTTCAATTTAGTAAAAAGCTTGGATGTAGTTGCACTAGTTACTTTCATTTTGCTGTAGCTTAGCTTGCTACATTTCTGAGGGTGATAGCTTTGATGTAGTGAAGCTTCATTTAATATTAGAGTAATTAGTAGCTCACTACACTTTCCAAGTAGCTTGCCCAACACTGTATATANCAAAACAGTACGATCACTGGAGGCCTCTATTTTCCACATCACACTTCAGTAAGCTTATGTATATATATATATATGTATATAGCAAATCTTGGGTTGGCTTTCACTTTGACTTTGACTTTCACTGGTGCAGCCCAGTTGCCAGAAGAAAATGCTGGCATTGTATGCAAACCACAGATATGTTACATTTGTACATTTCATACCTATCATATTAATGTCTCTAAAATGAAGTAAGATGTGAGCTGACTTTGTCATCAGGAGGTGGAGGGGATGGTGTATGGCAGGGCTATTCAATTACAAATATATGTATATATGAAAAAACGAATCACCCTCTTAGGGTGGTATCTGTATCATCCTCAAGCTCGGGTCCTCCACCAGAGGCCTGGGAGTTTGAGGGTTCTGCGCAGTATCTTAGCTGTTCCTCGGACTGCACACTTCTGGACTGAGGCTTCAGATTTTGTTCCTGGAATCTGCTGGAGCCACTCTCCCAGTTTTGGGGTCACTGCCCTGAGTGCTCCTACTACCAAGGGGACCACGTCAACTTTGACCTTCCACATCTGTTCCAACTATTCTTTCAACCCTTGATACTTCTCTGCCTTTTTGTGTTCCTTCTTTCTGATGTTGCTGTCGGCTGGTGTCACCACATCTACCACCACTGCCCTCTTCTGGTGTTTGTCAACCACCACTGTGTCCGGTTAGCCAGCAGCTGTTTGTCAGTCTGGAAGCTGAAGTCCCACAGGATGTTGTTCTCAACCACCTTTGGTGGTGTGTCCCATTGGGATTTGGGTACTTCAAGCCCATACTGGGTAAAGATGTTTCTGTACACTATCCCAGCCACTTGGTTGTGCCTCTTCATATGCTGATCCTGCTTGACTGTCTCAGGGGCATCTTTGCACAGCCTGCACCTTTGGTCTGATCTGCTGTGGTAAACCCTGACCTCTATGGCCCTTGTGCTTAGGGCCTGTTCTTGTGCTGCAATGATTAGTACCTCCATGCTGTCTGTCAATCCAGCATTCTCCAGCCACTGGTCGGTCTTCTTGATATCAGCAACTTCCTCTAGCTGACGGTGGAATGCACCATGTAGGTAGGGGCTTGTCCCTCCATGTTGTTTGCTCCTCCACCTCTTTGCTCTCATCAGGTTTCTGTTGTCTGAGGCAATCACTTAGCAGCTCATCCTTTGGGGCCATCTTCTTGATGTACTCCTGTATTAAATTACAACAACAAAGTCACTATATAAACTCAATAATATCTCACTGGAAACAAACCTAACATGTCAATGAAATAAATATACCTCCTGACACAATTCTGAATGAAAAAAGTAACATAATCTAAGCATGAAGAACAGACATCAGTATCAGTCATTTATCCTGCTCTCTGCCCCCCCTCTACTGAGGAGACTCACTGTCTGCAGGTCAGCTGTGTCAGGTACATTTTCAGATTAAGTGTTAGACTACATACAGACAGCTTTTATTTTAGTTAGCCCCACTAGCGCGATGTGCTTGTGTAGACCATAATCGCAAACCATAATAGTGGTGAATGAGAGACTGTGGACAGAGCAGATTGAAATATGGCTTTCTACATGCTGAACACATGTATTGATAAAGTATTGGCTTTTTACTGTCAGAGGTTTTATTGCACTTACTCACAGTAACAAGCGTAGTTGTCAACTAGAGTAATCTTGAAGTTATATTGCCTTCATTTGCACTGCAGCCTCACAGCTGTTGTCTGACTTCACTCCGTCGTGTTTGTGTGTCTCTCTGTGTCTCTGTGTGTTTGTGTGTGTGTGTGTGTGTGTGTGTGTGTGTGTGTGTGTGTGTGCTGTGAGGAGGAGGTCAGCCCTGATATGCAGAGAGCAGGAGAGAGGTTGCAGCATGATGATACATGAAACCAAAACTTCAAAAAGTAACAATAAGAACAGATAATGTTGAAGGTTATTATTATTATTATGGTCTTGATTAAACTTGCCTTTGGCCGTTTAATACCGGGTCTCAGAGGTTGCTTTTGGGCCGCCTGTGGCCTGCGGGCCGCTAATTGAATATGCCTGGTGTATGGCGTGATACCTTGGTAAGATGCCTGCCAAG